TTACAAAGATAAGAAAATAACTTGGAATAGCAGGTCATCAACCGGTCAGAGACCAGTGAATGAAGATGAGGTGTAAAGGTTGGATTATTCATGAATAATCAAAAGGTGAGACTATTATAAGAAGACCACTAAAAAGTTAGATTATTAGTTTCCATTTTCCCTTTGAAAATTCCAAAATAGAACTTTCATGTTTTTATTCCCGAAATAGGATTAATTACTGTCATGTTTTGGCAGTACCAGACTTTAAACATGGTAGTATTTTTCAAGTTTGACAGTAATTAGTCCAATTTTGGGAATAAAAACATGACAGTCATATTTTGGAATTTTCAAACCTTTTTAGTCCTATTTCAGAAACTTTCCTTATCTTTAATGGGAGGCTGTCAACATTAAAAATTGTGACACATGACAATGCATTATTGGAATGTTTAGTCGTAGAAAGAATGTCAAACCCCACATTGCAACAGATTGATAAGGCAACGAAATGCTCTCCAATGCATTACGTATAGCTCTACCTGTTTTGTACAAGGGAAAATTCCTGAAATATGAGTAAATAAGTTTGAAAATTGCAAAATAGGATTGTCATGTTTTTATTCCTAAAATAAGAGTAATTACTGCCAAGTTTGAAAAATACTGTCATATTTAAAATCAGGTACTGCCAAAACATGGCAATAATTAGTCTCATTTTGGGAATAAAAATATGGCAGTCCTATTTTGAAATTTTCAAACGTTTTTAGTCCTATTTAGGGTAATTTCCCATTAATAAATTAGAAAGTAAATATGACCCAAATTTTTCCTAATTCAAAATCCAACCAAGATTTCGGTTGATCGAGCTCTAACCTATTGCCAACAATTCCCATACATAGTTATTTGCTTATGTTCCATAAGTAATTTCTTCTTGAAGTTTCTCTTGTTAATTTGTTAACAAATTCATCAATTGAATACATAATGTGACAATCTATTGTTTTTAATGTGGAGATCACATACATCCGTGAAGCACTTTTCCGGGCAAGTGCTTGAGGTTAATATATTTTGATAAACTAGTTACTAGTCTTGTACATGAAAAAGTAATAGCATATATATGATTAATGTTGAAAAAAAATTTATGATTAAATTCAAGTATTGAGATTTAATAACATCATTATTTGTATTTTATTTAATACATAAATGTTTTATAAATGCTAAAAATATGCAACTGTTAATTTTTTTTAATAAGGATGTTTTTTAATTCGATTGAATTTGTTTTAGTTTGAATTTGTCCGATCTGGTCCGATTTGTTTAAGTCTTGTCAAGTAGATGTCTGGTCTTTATTTATTTATTTTTATTTTGATTTAGTTTGTTGATTATTTATTTACAATAATATAGTAGTACACTTTTTTGTAAGCAGATTAATTTTGAAAAAATGACAACACCTAGTTATGACTCGGATTCTAATAGCTCATCATCTAGCGATGATTCGCCTATATTATCTACACAAATGTTGAATGAGTTAAGGAGGGATGACGATGTTTATGCCGAAAGAACATTGATGTAGTTGAGACATGTGCAGTTCGCATCCCATTAATATTGTCTCTTATGTTAAGATATGTAGCAAAGGTCCTCATGGTGAACAAGTAGTATACGGTATATAAATCGTGATAGAAAAGAACGTCATGATCTAATTGTCAATGATTATTTCAATGGCGAGAACTCAAAGTATACACCTGAGAAATTTCGTTGACGATTTCAGATTGACATCGAATTATTTCAACGAAGTTTGAAAGAAATTCAGGCCTATGATGATTATTTTACCCAAAAGGTTGACGCGATCGGGAATCCCGGGTTGAGTCCTTTACAAAAAATCATGGCTTCAATACGTATGTTAGCATATGGTTGTGCAGTGGATGTTCTTGACGAGTATGTCCAAATTGGAGAGAGCACAACAATTGAGAGCTTGAAACGATTTTGTGATGCCATAATTGACATTTTTGAAAAGTAATATTTACGGAAATCAGACAAAGATGATGTTGCATGACTTTTAAAAGAGGGAGAAGACCGTGGATTTCCAAGTGTGCTTGGTAGTATAGATTACATGCATTGGCATTTAAAAAATTGTCCAATAGTTTGTCACGGGACACATATTAACGGTTTCAAAAGAATTTCAACTCTTATTTTGTAAATTGTTGCTTCTAAAAATTTGTGAATTTGGCATGCGTTTTTTGGAATGGCCGGTACGAATAATGAGGTTAATATTTTAGACAGTTCTCCCTTATTTGATGACCTTGTTAATGATAGAGTGTCACTATGTAATTATGTAGTGAATGATCATTATTACTATATGGGTACTATTTATCAGATGAGATTTATTCAGAATATGCCACTTTAATCCAAACCATCTCAAATTCATCTTCTCTCAAAGAAAAATTATTTGGAAGGCTTCAAGAGTCTGTTAGAAAAGACGTAGAATGAGCATTCAGAGTGCTGCAAAATCGGTGGCATATTATCAAAGGTCCAGGACGTATGTGGAATCCAAAGAATTTAGGAAAGATTATAAAAGCATGCATCATTTTATATTACACGATTGTTGAAAGTGAGAATAGTCAAGGCATTGATCCTCAAAGTTGGCAATCCGAGGTAGAAGATACAAGTGACAATGTTATTCCAGATCATGATTTTACCTTTCTTTTTTCAAGGATGAATACTTGAATGAAGGAGATACAAAATAAAAGATTGCACCGAGTTTGCAGTACTCCGAATGCTCGTTCTACATCTATTCTAACAGGCTCTTGAATCCTTGCAAATAATTTTTCCTTAAGAGAAGATGGGTTTGAGATGATTTGGATTAAAATGACATATTCTAGATAAATCTCATCTGATAGATAGTACCTCATATTGTAATGATGACAATTCACTACATAATTGCATAGTGGCGCTCTATCATTAACAAGGTCATCAAATAAGGGAGATCTATCTAAAACATTAACATCATTATTTGTACCGGCCATCTCAAAAAATGCATGCCAAATCCACAAATTTGTAAAAGCTACAATTTCTGAAATAAGAGTTGGAGCTCTTTTGAAACCGTTAGTATGTGTCCCGTGTCATGAACAATTTTCCAATGCAAATGCATGCAATCTATACTACCAAGCATACCTGGAAATCCACAGTCTTCTCCCTCTTTCAAAAGTCTTGCAACGTCATCTTTGTCTGGTTTTCGTAAATATTGCTTTTCAAAAATGTTAATTGTGGCATTACAAAATCGTCTCAAGCTCTCAATTGTTGTGTTTTCTCCAATTTGACCATACTCATCAAGAACATCTGGTGCACAATCATATGCTAACATACGTATTGAAGATATGATTTTTTTTAGTAAGGACTCGACCCGGGTTTTCCAACCGCGTCAACCTTTTGTGTAAAATAATCATCATAGGCCTCAATTTCTCTCAAAATTCATTGGAATAATTTGATGTTCATCTGAGATTGCCGATGAAATTTCTCAGGTGTATACTTTGAGTTCTCACCATTGAAATAATCATTGACAATTTGATCATGACGTTCTTTCATATCACGATTATATAACGTCTACCACTTGTTGAATCGTCATGAGGACCTTTGCTACATATTAACATAGGAGACAATATTAATGGGATGTGAACTGCACATGTTTCAACTACATCACTGTTCATTTTGGCATAAACATCATCATCCCTCCTTAACTCATCCAGTATTTGTGTAGATAATATAGGCAAATCATCGCTAGATGTTGTCATTTTTGTCAAAATTAATCTATTTACAAAAAAGTATATATTATTGTAAATAAATCATCAACAAACTAAATCAAAATAAAAATAAATAAATGAAGATCATACATCTACCAGACAAGATCAGACAAAACTTAAACTGATCAGACCAGATCAAGCCATATCAAACTAAAACATCCTTATTAAAAATTCATGGTTGCATATTTTTAATTACAATAAGAACTACTGTAACATTTATAAAACATTTATTTATTAAATAATATAAAAATAATGATGTTATTAAATCTTAATACTTGAATTTAACCATAAGTATTTTTTTTCAACATTAACCATATCCATGTTATTACTTTTTCATGTTCAAGAAAACTAACTAGTTTATTAAAATATATTAACTTCAAGCACTTGCCTGGAAAAGTGCTTCACGGATGTATGTGATCCACATTAAAAACAATAGATTGACAAATTACGATAAATTTGTTAACAAATTAACAACATGAAAATCAAGAAGAAATTGCTTACGTAACAAAGGCAAATGACGATGTATCGGAATTGCTGGCAATAGGCTAGAGCTCGATCAACTGAAATCTCGGTTGGGTTTTGAATTAGGGAAAATCTGGGTCATATTTAGGTTCTCATTTATTAATTTGAATTTGAAATATTCCACTTGTACAAACAGTTTGAGCTATAGCTAATGCACTGGAGAGCATTTCGCAGTTTTGCTACCTTATCAATCTGTTGCAACGATATTTTATATATAGTTCCATCTATTCATGTCCATGGAATTATGGAAATCTCTGATTTTCACATGAGTCAATCCAACTAAGATTTCTGGTTGGATGCTAAGCGTGCAGATGGAATGAAAAGCTCCTGAACAAGGTAAAGCACAAATCCAAATTGGCAAATTTCAATCTTCAAACTCTAATTACTAGAAGATATAAAAACATAAAACACTTGAAGACAAGATAACGAGGGAATAGCAAGATAGGTCCTAATCTCATCTTGAATCGAACACGATTGATGTTACGAAGTATTTAAGAGTTACACTGTTACACAAACCATAGATTCACTTTCTGACAGCTTTCACAGGTTGACTTTTTTTTTGTGAAATAAGGAATTGTTCACTTAGATTTATTGTTGTTACTAATCAAACCAAATCAAGCTAGATTTACCAAATCAAACTAGATTTTAATAGACCAAAACATAATAGAACAGATTTTGATAGCAATAAAACGCAAATAACACGAGAGACTAGTTCAAGCGAGATCCGAGCATATCTAACTCATATAGTACAATCCGTCACCTAGACCATTTCGGACAAGTAAATTTCATTTTAAATGAACAGTGATACAATAAAAATTAAAATTAAAAATAGTATAGCAAGCAACACTTTTTCTACGCCAGATTGAGAAATCATTTCAATTGATGTCGGTCCAACACCAAACACAACGTTTAAACAAGTGTTTAATGTTAAACACAAAATATACAATCCTAAAGTTAACCTAGATTTCATTTTGTAACCTCCAAATCTATTTTCAGCTTACCTTGACATTGGTGAGCACTACAACTCCACATCAAAAGGAAAAGACCTGACTGCTGGCTCCATGGTTTTCAACATGATATTCATATTAGTAATGTCTTTGCCTGTCCCGATATTGAGCAATGAGCATTACTGATCCAGAATTTATGAAGTGAATGAGACAGCAAGGGATGAAAAATGTAGAAGTCAACATGCTTTCATACCCATCTATGCAAAGCCAGTTTTTAAGAAACAGTCAGCGCATGCTCTTCCCTTTGTTTGTTTCAGATGGTTGTGAAGGTATTCGACTTAGAAGCCATATTAAAGCTACACCAATTAATGCACCTGATAGATGTGCAATGTGATTGATGCTCTGTAGCGCATAACTTCCACTAAAACTGCCTGGCAATACTGTTGAAGCTTGGGCAGCTTCCATCACCTTATCCACACAATAAGAATTAGGGGTGCCGAGGGATTCAAGAAATTTGTTAACTAACCCAATTTAGCTCGGTTGAAAGTTTTATAAATCAGGTGAACATTGATTTTGACCATACAGGTTGGGTTGGATAGGATTGGATCAGTTCATAATTCACACATAAATAATAATATAAATATTAAAATTAACAAAACTAAAGACTTAATCAGATAATGAACAATAATAAACTCTTGAATTGATTCAATTATCCATCAACCTATCGCAAAAACTATAAATAGTTAAATACAGTCCATGCAAATGAAAACATAAATTTTTTTTAGTTAGTATAAAAACACATTTGTAATTATTTAGTAATACCTATATAGTGTGTTATGTTATGTTGGGTTCCATTGGTTAGATTGATTATTGGGAAATTGGTTTATTCTTTTGTGCACCCCTAGTAGGAATGCCATGTTTTCATTCATCCAGAGTTTCTTAGGCGAGGGGCATAAGGCATTCTGGGATCATTTGCTGTATGGTAGGAAAATGTACCCAGCCTAAAAATGTTATAAAAGTCCCAGTCCAATACCAATTAATCCCCACTCACCTTGGCACCAAGCTGTCATTGGTTGCCTATGTTTTCCCCTCATAGACCACACCTAACTCCACTTAGATCCTGCCTAAGCCCAATTAACTCATACCTAGGCACAGGCCACTTGATTTAAGATTAAAGGTATCACCTGTTGCAGTTATCTAATTGTTTTGCAAGTAAGGCTTTGGGATAGCTTGCAATCGACTCTTCTGCTACACTGAGAACCTTAAGTTCAAATCTGATTTAACTTGAATATTATGCCTTTAAAATTATATACTAGCTATGAGCTAAAGATGATCATGCAGAGGTTGTTTCAATTTAATTGACAGAAATGAATTCAATACCCTTTCCACAACAAACTGACCCAAGATAAGTGTTTCAAGAATCCTCCTCCAGTCCCAAGAAATCTGTTCAAGGAGGAAAGAATATGAGGGTCAGAAATTTCCAAGCTCTCAGGGAAAAAAAAAATTATATAATAATTCATATTAAGCGAATCATACAAAATATGATAGGATAACCACCTTAACAAGTACACTAATTGCGAACAGTCCATACACTGCACCAGATGCCCCAATAGAAACTGCATTTCTAGGAAGAACTAGCCATGAAACAAGGTTCGCCCCAGCCCCAGTTAACAGATAAGAAAACCATAATGCAAGGTTTCCTTCTTCCTCTTCAACAAGTTTTCCTGAAAAGCGAAAATTACTTGACACTGAACATTACAAAACACTCCGTAACATCTAATCAACACATTAAGAGGTTATCACTTTGTCATTGATCAAGTAAGGTGCCTCACCAAAAATATACAAGAAGAAGAGGTTGCTTGATAAATGGTTCCTGTTAAGTGATTACAATTTGTGAAATAAGTCAAATAATATGGAAGAGGGATTAGAAGTACGCTAAAGCAACTGCGACGTACGCTAGTTTATACTTTCATCATCATTCTTGCGCATTCCAAAGGAGAAAGTTTCTTACCAGTTAAAATGACAGAATGTGGCAGTCACAAACTGGTACCAAGAAGGATGATTATGGTATAAATACAATGTTTTTATGCCCCGAACCTGGAAAACATTAGCTTTTAGATTAAGCAGGGCTCAAATATAATGAGATATCATCAGAAAACCAAATATCATATCTACAGTTCTAAACAACGACTAAAGCTGTTTAATCCAGTTAACTTTAGAGGACAGCACAGTATATGATGTAAAAGATTTAAAACACCTGGAAAATGTGATCTGCAACGAATATCCCAAGGTTTATGAGTAGAATCCAGAAAATTCCATTCACACGCTTCTCTGGTTTATTCTTCTCAATGGGGTTCCCAAGCTCCAGCCTTGATGTAATATCTGAATAAAATAATGAATTCTTTAACAAAAACTTGAAGAGCATAATAAACTCGTGGTTCAACGGTAGAGAAAAAGGATGTCTGTGTGGGTATATATAGTAACATAGAGAGATGAATTTCACCTGAATCCTTCAAATTGTAGAAGACACGAGACCGGGAAGTTCGAAGTGGAAGTGAAATTTTGGGCGTGAGGCAGCAAGAAGACGAAGAAGTAGGAGTGGAATAAAAGGGAAGCTTCCAGGACAGTGGATTTAGCGGAGGTCTTGAGAGTGGCGGCGTGGCCAAGGGTACGAAGCCACGGCAGTCGAGCATAAGCTGCCGCTGAAGCGGAAGTTGAAGCCGAAGCATGGTTTTGACGGGAAAACAGAATTTTGGCAAACACGCCCTTGTTGAACTACCAGCAACGGGGTGGTTGGGTTTGGTTCTAGAGCGGTTTTCCCCAACCTCGTCTAAACTCTAACGGCAGAGCCGTCAAAACGGGCCGAAACCCGCGGGTTGGCCCGTTTCAACCCACTTATAAGTGGGTTAGGGCTATCATTTTCAGGCCCAATTGTTTTGCAGGCTCAGTGGGTCAACTCTAGCGGGTTGCGGGTTTAGCGGGCCAACCCGCGGGCTGAGGACAAATATCATTTATTCTATGTATTTTTAATTCTATTATTTCTATATAGGACAATTATATCTTCTATTATACTCTCTCTTTACTTCTAGTTCTTTCCTCACTTCTAATTCTAATGTATTTTGTTCATGATATCCAAATTAGACTAAATAAATGTATTTTTAATGTATTCATTGTTATACTGTTTTATAACATAAGGACTTCTATGTTGTTTTATTCATGATATCCAAATCAGACTAAATAAATGAGAAATTAGGTATTTGCGGTATTTCAACTTACGTATACCCACGATAATACATTAAAGCTTTTAAGTATTTCATCATTTAACTTTTTAAGTATGCCGGTTACCCACGATGATACATTCAAACATACAACCAAAGGATTTTCAAGCACTAATTTTTTCCTTTTTAATTGTGTTTGGATTTTAATTTAGATATTTAATTGTTATTTCAATTGTGTTTGGATTTTAATTTAGATATTTAATTGTTTTTGTTTTGTTTTGACATTTATGGTTATGCGGGCTGGCCTGCATAACCTGTGGGTTAGGTGGGTCGGGTTAGGGTCATAAAAATTCTGGCCCGATAGTAAGCGGGGTTGACCCATCTCGACCCGTGAAACTCATAACCCGCCGTGGGTCGGGTCGGGCCGGGTTGGCCCGTTCGACAGCTCTATCTAACGGCAGGGTAGGTTTTGAGCAGCATATCATACATCCGGGTATCCGCACGTACACCCGACCCAATTAAGGAAGACAGTCCAATAACTAATATAGAACAAAAAAATCATTGGCATTTTTGCAATATAGGCAAAAAATCACGGGTTCTGCTAAATGAGTAATAATGTGCTTTTGTGAGCATCTTACCTATTGTATTTGAGTATTAGGAAGCGTAACAATGAGTATCACAATCTCTGCTTCATATCTTCTAATTCTTTTTCTTTTTTTTATTTTTCCTTTTATAAAAACTTATTAAATTATACTACCTCTGTCCCTTTTATGTTGGGACGGAAGAGGGTGACACGATTATTAAGAAAAGTGGTTTGTGTGGTTGATATATTAATTAATTGATAAAGTAAGAATAAAGTAAAAATGATTTAGAGTCACACAAACTTTGCCAAATATGGTATGTGACAATTTTAGTGGGACTTCCCGAAAAGGTAAAACGGGACAATATAAGGGGGGCAGAGGAAGTATCTATAATTCACTCCTATTAATTTTAACATGCTAGTCTAATGTAATATAATACTTTTGAGATATGCATTGATATGACATTTTAAAAATGACCATAACATCAGTACCAAATGAGCATACATAACTTTCAAAGTGCGCATTGATATGAAAATCGTAAGGTTTGTTAGTTGAACATCATGACATTTTAAGTGAGCATTAAACCTCCACTATTGAAATGAAAATCACGGTTTCCGGTAAATGAGCACTAATGAACTTTTAATGAGCATCAGACCTATTATGTTTGAGTATTAGGAGTCTAATATTTAGAATCGTGACTTCTGCTTCATGACTTCTAATTCACTTTCTTTTTGTTATTTTTTCTTTTATAAAAACTTATTAATTTATATTTATAATCAACTCCTATGAAATTTCAATATGTGAATCTAATGTAAAATAGTAATTTTAAAACATGCATTGATGTGACATTTAAAAAATGAGCAAAAGATCAGTATCAGATGAGCATACATAACTTACAAAATGTCCGTTAATATGAAAATCGTAATATTTGTTAGTTTGACATAATGACATTTTCATTGAGCAACAAATTTGCTCTATTGAGATGAAAACCACGGTTTATATTAAATGAGCATTAATGAACTTTTAATGTGCATCTGACCTATTATGAACATTAAAACACTTTCAATGAGCATCAGACTTATTCGGTTGATTATTAGGAACCTAACAATGTGAATATAATGTCATATGCAACTTTTAAAATTTGCATGAATTTGATATTTTAAAAATGGGCATAATATGAGTACAAGTTGAACAAATGTAACTTACAAAATGAGTATTGATATGAAAATCATAAGTTTTTTAGTTGAACTTCAATACACTTTTATTGAGCATCAAACCTCTTCTATTAAGTATTGAAAACATGTAATTGAATGTCATGGTCTGTGCTCCTATATCTATAATCAACTCCTACATGAATCTAAAAAATAAACTGAAACATGTAATAATATTTTATATTATATATTTTCAATATAATTGAATATAACATTAAAGTAGAAGATTGCTAAAAAACAAAAAGAAAAAGAAAGGAGAACAAAAAAAAGGAGAACATAGGAAGTAAGGATGAACGTGAGTGGAGCAGCGGCGGAAAAAGGAGGAAGCAGCTCAACACCTCAGCCTATTAATTATCCTCAAAACTTGCTGCTAATTACAAAAAATCGGGTGTACATGTACACTCAGGTGTAGGATATAAATTGTGGATTTTGAGAGGTATAAGTAATGGACTAATGCAAGAGGATGAAATCATGGAATGCATTATAATGATATTACTCACGAAGTATTATTTTTGGAGATGTTAGACATTTGAAGCCTACAAAGTGAAAGAAAAGAAGTGGAACAGTAACAGTATTTTCGCCAGTGCAAGAAAACAAGTGGAACAACAACGGTATTTTAGCCAGTATAAGTGTTCGATATGTGTACCGTTCAGCAAACCAGGTTGTCCATATACTTGTTATGGAAGCCTATTCTAGGTCTGTCGGTATGTAGGTGGAGCACCCACCCGATTGTATTGATCTTGTGTTAAGAAGTGATGAGAATTAATAAAGTTATTGGATTCTAAAAAAAAGTAATGGACTAATGGAAGCGTTATAGAATGTCTGCAACAGTTTCTACTTTTGAAAAGGTTTCCTAAGAAATTGTACAAAATTGATCAATAGTGAAAGTTTGTAGCGTTTGAAAAGAAAACTGGTTTTTTTAAAGGGAAACTGATTATATTAATATCATTAGAATTTGGATCGTTACATCAAACTCCAAGAGACCAACACTGGCAACAACTATATGTAACCAACATTAGACTTAGAAACGATCACCCCTGAAAGAGCAATGCAGATCACAAATCACTAAAATGCTTTTGAAAAGTAGTAGCTAGAGAGCTTGATGAAAATGTGGTTTTTGATGTAATAAAAATAGTGAAAAACATTTCAAAACACTTGTATGTCTCAATTGTTTCACCTTTTCACTTTAAAAAAATAGTCATGTTTTTGGGAAACAAAGTCATTACTTTTTGTAATCGCAAAGTTATTGTTAATATTTCTGTCCTCATTCCATTTAGAAACGCCAATTTTAACTTTTCTCACCCAAATAAAGCACTTAAGCACAAAAGTACTTTTTTAAACTCTTGCAAACACTCTCTTAGTAAGTGTTGCCATAGGCTCGGAAGATAAGGTAAGTGTAATTAAGGATGTTTTTTGGACTGAAATTTGGTGGCCTGGTTTGGTCTATTTAAGTTCGGTCTGGTCCGATCTGGTAAATTTTTTATCTCTGTGTATTTTCTAATTGTCCATGTCTGATCTAGTCAGGTCTGGTCTCTTTAAGTCTAGTCTAATTTGATCTGATCTGGTCTGAAACTGAAAACAATCTAAAAGAAAATCATCCTAAGTAGGAGTGGAAAGAGGTCAGGTCGGGCCTATTTTAATATATATATATATATATATATATATATATATATATATTATAGGGGAGGGTTCTAGTGAGAACCCCTGAGAACCGGTGGTATTTTTGGCTGAAATTTTTTGTGTATGTTCATCATCAAGTCTAGTTCATCCATACCAAATTTGAGCAAAAACTTCAATCGGTAAGGTCGTCAAATGATTTTTGAAAGAAAACTGCGTTTTATATGTATATTCCGGACCAGTTTTCATATATATATATATATATATATATATATATATGGATGAGTTCAAATGAAAAGACATCTTAACGTGTAAAATGAGAATTAATCTCAGCCGTCCAAACTGTTGCACAATAACCTTTATCTGATGCATTTTCGAAAAGTGCATCAAATAAGGTCTATTCGAGCGTTAATAATAAATGATTCCGGTGTAAATTGTCATTAACATATTGGTTTTAGTTAATTACTAATATTAATTGAGCGTTAATTAATTTTAGTGAACTTTAGTGAAATTTAATATATTAATGTTCCTAAATAATAATTAGTTATTATTCCAAAGTTAGTTAATTAATTGAAATTATCAATGCCATTAACGTATTGCTTTTAGTTAATTACTAATATTAATTGAACGTTAGTTAATTTTAGTGAACTTTAGTGAACTTTAATATATTAATGTTCCTAAATAATACTCCCTCTGTCCCGTAATTAAGTTCTTACTTTCCTTTTTGGGATGGTCCATATTAAAGTTCCTACTTCAAACTTTTCCTTATTTGGCAAATGATTTACACCAAAACAGTGTCAAACAGTGCCAAACAGTATTTAAACAGTGGCAAATAATGTTCAAACAGTTCACTCCACAATAAAGTCAAATTTATTTCTTAATATGTGTGAAGTCAAACTAGGAACTTAATTAAGAAATGGAGGGAGTAATTAGTTATGATTCAAAAGTTAGTTAATTAATTGAAATTATTAATGCCATTAATGTATTTGTTATAGTTAATTACTAATATTAATTGAGCGTTAATTAATTTTGGTGAACTTTAGTAAAATTTAATATATTAATATTCCTAAATATTAATTAGTTATGATTCAAAAGTTATTTAATTGAAATGAGTAATGCCATTAACATATTGCTTTTAGTTAATTAATAATATTAATTGAACGTTAGTT